ACGCGCGGTCTATTTTCAGAGCGCACTGAGGTTATACGAATATTTATAATCGGATTCGTCACTCGAATTGGAGCTATGTTTTGTTAAAGCCAAGTAAAGGAGCCAGTGTTGCGAATGAGATATTTACTTAAAAGATTATTTTCGGTATATTCGACGGGCGTCACTCGTTTTCAGCATCGGCATGTGAAAGCAATTTATTTGTATTTTCGATGAAATGACGCACGACCTGATATTTTTTCATAAAATAAAATAGACCTCAAAGATTTATTGATTAGTTTTATATTTAACATAAAACTATTTTTACTTAATGTATGTATAAAATGCATACAAATCTATTAAGTATAATTAATTAGGTGTAATCGATTAGGTAGGTACCTACCACATATTAATGAATATTGATTATTCCATATTTAGTTTTGAAGTGTTATCCTATGTAACAGTTTTCAATCTATTTTTAGTGAGGATAAAATATATTATATACTATAGATTAAAAGTAGGTAAATATCCAGGAATGTTAGGGAGCTAGCTACACTTAAGAACTTTTAATCTTGACTTGACTGTTCTTCTATTTACATAATCTTTTTTAAGTTATAAAAGTCGTTTAAAAGTAAATCAGTATTTTAGCAGTTACATACGTCTCTGTCTTTTATATTTAATGAATTATAAATGTCGTAGTCGACGCTGAAAATTGACCCGTACTATTTACATAATGTCAATCGTCGTGGCTATTTCTTTATGATGCGAATACAGTAGAGATAAAAGGGGATAAAAGAATGTTGGCAGAATTTAATACGATTGAATTATTTGTTAAAAAATAAACACTGTCTACTGTTCAGGGAGTTGACAGATATGTTAGAAAAATATCTATAAAAGATTTTATTTATTTTTGAGATATATTTCATTCCACATCACAAACTCAGATGTTATTATTTAATGATAAATATCTCATCAATTTTCCTACAAATAAATTAGCGAAAACTTATTAGGTTTTTGAAAATTTTTATCTCTACCAAATTTTATGACGTGTGTGCACGGGTATACACTGTACACACATTATTAAAGTCGTCATGGTTCATAGTATACAGAATATCAAGAAGAAATAATCATGACGCCTGTCTATACGAGTATATAAACAGTACAATACGAGTCAGTTTCCGACGTCGCCACTGACGTTCCTGACGTCTGTAATTGATTTTATGTAAATTTGCCTATATATTAATTTAAATTTTAGCGTAATTAATCTTACGTCACAGTATCAACCGCAACTGTATAAATATATTAAAATTATCCTAACAATTAAATTGTATAAATATGACGAATGCGATGACCTAATTAAAATATTGCAAAAGACGTATGTAATGTAAGTTTAGTTACACAAAATTTCAGCAAATTATACATAACCTCATAAATGTATAAATGTTGCTATATGATTGATGGTTAATTTTTAAGGCATATATTTAAAAATATATCTATCGGTAGTTATGCAGAATTCTAATGTTTGTGATCTGTAATAACTAAAAAGTAAGTAAAATTTTAAGTAAAATAGTAAGAAAAATTGAAATAAAATTTTAATGTATGTTTTTATGCGCCTTAATTGCTCAAATATTGAACTTTATTTACAAAAATAAAAGAATTTCACGTGAACGGATTAAAATGCGGCTGCTAGTGGGGTGGCTATCTATTTTGACTTCTCCGGATTAGTCCTCGTTTAGAGACTATAAAAGCGTCCCGGAAATGATTGTAAAGTTGTAAAATCAATTCATATATAATTATATATTGTTTTATTATAATAATAATTTTACTACTTTATGTATAAGAATCAGCACAAATAGTTGAATAGGTATCTGAGTTTGTTGTTCTGATTTGCATACTATACTATTTGCAAAAAATTGTATATGTATTGTATTGTACTACATAATACTTTTTGTTTTCAAATAGGTAACTCAATATACTTGTATATGGTTATGGCTGTCTATATGTCATATATTAATAAAAAAATGAAATTTTTTTTTATACTACTTAGAATGGCAAACAAGCTGACAAAATTATAGGATTAACAAAAAGAACATTAGAGGGTGTATTTTTTGGGAGGGATTGGTGCGGATGTTACCAGAGGGAGACTTTGTACAAAAGTCGATTGCTCGGGTACCTCTGTCCCATTCGTGTTTTTACTGTGAAGCCGTTGTGTTTGCATGGCTGTGTTTCGGCTTAAAGGGTGGGATATGGCGTGAATTTACTGGGTACAGAGGAATAACACCTGAGTCCTCAGGAATGGCAACGCATGGGGGGTATCGTGGGCGAAATAGTATACTCTGTTATGTCCATGGTACTGCTCATGTCTATAGGCGACTGTTACCACTTTTCATCAAGTGGGCCGTCAGCTTGTTTGCCATTTTAAGTTGTATAAAAAAAAATGTGGCTTTACTATATCCGTAAATAACTTAAATACCTAAGTAATTAATATAGCAATAATGGAACGCTTGGTTTTCATATATCAGATTATTCATTTTTATATTCATATATAGCACTAGCGTTGTCTTTCTCTATCTAAATATGTGACTTTACCCACGTATTCTTATTTGCGTAGGTATTTTATACAAAATAAGTACATTCTGTGATAGTAATGGTAACATCATTATATGTTACCTAACCGTATAATTAGTGGTCGATAACTATCTTTAGTCATCATAGCTAGTCTGTAATAAAAATAAATGTCCTTGATTGATCTATCTACGCATGTACTAGTTCTTTGGGTAGGTTATGTATATGTATATATATATCCCGGAGATATATAAATTATAAATGATTTCAATTACGTATATTCATAGAGAGTTTTAAATATTAGATATCGCAAATATCTATATCCGTCTGAATACTAAGTGTGCCATATTCTATTTGTTGCGATATTATATGAGTTATTTACTATTATCCAACCCCATCAGAATCAAATCAATACGAAGATAGCACACGGGTTCCTATTTTTGTCAATCGTTAAAACTTTTTTTGACGTCAATACCGTGTGAGAAGTTTGAATCGAAATATAACCGGAGTTCGTATCGACGCTCTTCCCTATTTAGACCAAATAATCAGCACCCTAAAGTGTTTTAGTTACTTCATTTTGCATTTATTTCTATGTTTAAAATCAAATGTTTATTTCAAATTCATGGCTTTAACATAAATATTTACATAAGAATATTTTATATGGTAACCTTCAATTGACCTGTACAAGTGATCTGTTTAAAATAATTGTCCATTCTGAGACATGGAACCCTATAAATTCAGACAGTTTTTTATTGACAATATGAGAGTTTTATATATTTCCTCATACAAGGGCGGCAGTAGAATACAACGACGTCATGCGTCATGTATGTACGTCAGCCGTCTCTGCATTGACCTTTTACCCCTTTCTACGTCTACGAAAAGCTTTTAAGGAGGCCGAAAATCTATTTTGATAAAACAGAAATTAATAATAACATATAGAGTTTGTAAATTTGTAAATCATACTTAGATATCTACTCCTATATTAAAGACACTAATATAAATATCAGAGAATAATCGACAAAAGATGGGGTTTAGTCATCAAGATCAAGAGCAATTCTCCAATGTTGCCGTATATTTTTCACCATAATTATAATTTTAACTGAACTAATGTTAAATTAGTGGACAGAAACTACATTTAATTATTATTATTATTCTAAATAATAGAAGCTTCTGAGGAAAACGTATAAATATAACTCAATGCAATATGGAACATGTTGTGTAATTAATTTAATGCGCATTCGGTGCATTCTTTTCCAATGAGATTAATGAATAAAATCATTCAAAACTAACATTCTGCCTTGTCACGTGCTTAATTGATTTCTACTAAATTGCTTTAGGTATAAAGTCTGGAAACTAGAGCAGACAAAAACGGTATATAGATTTAAAGAATATTACCTTAATCGAATAATTCCTTTACAGCATATGTAATAGGAAGTTTCATTAGCAGACGTTCCATTATGCCTAAAGTACCTATCTATACAAATTATATAATAGTTATTATGTAACCGGAGCTAGAGCCTACAAAAATATTGTGATTTAATAATAATAATACACGTAACAATAATTTAATATTTTATGCGAAATTGATTCTTATAAATATCGATGAGACGATAGTATAAATATGTATAGGTATACATGCATTAGAAAGAGGTGTATGTTTACATATTTTTGTTTTGTATTAACTAATTTGTTAACTCTTTTTGCAACAAATAATTCTTTTTATAACAGAGTAACTTGTGAAGTAACTGTTTTTTTGCGAAGCCAAATTCTATATCCTTAATCAAACAAACAATTGGCGTATAGTCCGGACTAATTAATAGAATTATTATCGCTATTATCGCTTTTATAAAATACTACTATCCACAATGTACTACCAATTCATAATTTTCAGCTGACTTTTCTCATTTTACATATACCTATATAAACACTAAGAAACTGTTTTTGGAATTCACCTGGGAATAGAAAGAAACGTGCTTCGCATAGATAACACTTTGTGGTTCTTTGTTCAGACATTATTTTTAAAAGAAGATAACGCAACAACCTTAAGGTACCTTTTTTGGGCGCCTTTATAATGTATCTATATTTTTTATTTTATACGAGTACCTAGCTTTTGTCCGCATTTTCATACGCGTGGTTGAAACGAGGAAAACTAATAAAATAAATGACTTATAGATGCGGTGTATCAAAATATTCACCAGATTTTAAATTCTACCTTTAGGAATACAACTATGAAAATCCATCTAATTTGATGCAGTAGTTTTCTGCACGAGGCTGGAATAAACATATAACAATATAATAGATTTAATAGAAAGAATATTGTAGATGTTTCGTTGATCTCAGATGTATCAGTATAATATATTAATTTAAATTCGTTTATATGTTGTTACTATTTGTTCTTTAGGTAATTTCCTTTCATTTTTAAAACTTCTAATTTACTAGAATTGTATTTTTTGTTCCAGACTGTGAATCTTTAATTCGCAAGATGTTAGTTTTGGAACCTATGAAGAGGTATACAATTGAGCAAATTAAGAAGCACCGGTGGATGGCGGTAGAGCCTTATGCGGTATCATCTGCGACCACAGACCCGGCTCGGAGTCCGGCCCATGCGCCGGCACATAATGAGCCCAACGAACAGGTGTTAAGGCTAATGCAGAGTTTGGGTATTGATCCAGTTAAGACCAAAGAGGTGAGTGAGACTCATTATCTAATTTTTAACTAGTATTAGAAGAGATAATTTGTACTAAACATGGAATAATGACCTCAAGTGTGTGGCGAAAGGGGTCGTTAGTAATGAGAACGTTATAATACCAATTGCTATTAATATACCCTTTCAGGTCGATCTTCACGCGGTTCCTCCTGGAAACCATTGTGATTCATTCTTGTTAAATTCTTTACAATGGTCTTACTAACCTGCATTCAGCCTCTACTATCCTCCCCCCTGGTGTTCCTCCAGCGAATATATAGCGCATGTGGGGTTACTATTCCATTATCGTCCACTAAGATCTCAAATGTATCCCAAGATAGTACAGATGCTTAAGACTTAAGACTATTCTTTGTGACAGTCTCGCAGCGATCAACTATTGATGGTACGACGGACTGTCACATTATTATTTAATTATGCTTTCTTTTCTTTTTTAACGAATGTACTATGAATAAGGAGCAGCGAAGTGTCTTTCAGTATGGTTCCATTTCTATTGCATCATTAAATTGGGACTTAATTGAAATCACATCTAATCTATGACAAATGTCTTACTTTATGTTAGAAGTCTATGCGATGTGATTTCATGATTCGATCCCAATTCATTGCGTAAAATTGATCTCTTCCAAATGAAAGTTATATTAGAGTAATTAACTTAATTCTTCTCCAGATAATATAATACTGTGCCTACTAATAAAAAATCGATAACATTTCCTAACTCAAATATTCCTAAAAATACTTCAGTAAGTTTGCAATTACACAGCACTTACTTTGTTGGTTTGAGATTCTGCATGTATAAGTATTTTTAAATTCTTATTTTTTTTTTTATTTCAGAGCCTAAGATCAAACAGTTATGATCATCATGCAGCTATATATTTGCTCCTGTTAGAACGTCTTCGGGCGCGAGCAGCAGGTGGAGCTACTGTGAGTACCGCAGAAGCGCGAAATCGGCCATCCCGGCGTCCCTCGTCTGTTGCGGACCAAGCGCTTGCCAGAGAGGTGCATGAAAACAGACGGGAACATCACACTAGGTAATTACGAAAATATATAAGTAGATTTAAAAAAAGACAAAATTAGTATGAAACGAACAAGATAATAAACCCTACTAGTGTTATTTATTATATCAAAGGAATCATCAGAAATAGTTGAGAATTGGTGAAAATAATGTGTTGTAATTAATGGAGGACGAAACAAACTCTGATGTTGACAGTTGCTTCAAGTTTGAGGGTACATTGTATGAATATATCGTAAAATGGACACTTCATTAAAAACTTCAATTATCTCTTCTATAACAATAATTTTTCATCCGAGCATGTTTAATTACGTATACTGAGAGTGGTCATTCTAAAGCTCCTTGTGAAATTTCAAGTTATTAAAATGATAATTAAGAAATATGCTAGTAATAATAATAGTAACTTTCTTTCTTTTCAGATTACTTCATTCTGGTGATTCTCAATCAAGGGACTACAGTAGGGCGACACCTACAATCAGCGCTGCACCAGCCGACTCCTCGTCTGCTGAAACGCAGCGATTGCTATCCCTTGCCGGCGTAAATATGACTGAGCAAAGACTGCTCCAGCGAAATTCCGACCCCTCGGACACGCATAGGAGCTTTCTAGTCGGAAACCTTGACGTTTCATCTAGTAGAAATCATGAAGCAGAATCAACTAGACTACTTTCTATGAGAAATATTGATGTATCACAATCAAATCAACGGATAGGCACAAAGTTAAATGAAAACACCGTCCCAACTCATCGACTTCTCACTTCTACATATGAACAACAACAAAATATACTGAAGCAATCCAGTGAAGATTGCCGGAGACTGCTCCAGCAATCAACAACCGTTGGACCTGAAACAAATAAAAGCTCAGGAGATGGTACTAGGCTATTGACATCCTCTAGTTTTGATTCAAAATGTGCTATTGATGGTGGAAGAAGTTCTTCAGCTACAGATCATAATGTTATTGCAAATTTTCTTCAAAATTCTGCATCTGCGACTAATTTTAATGTGGAATCTGTAAAATTACCAAGTTCTACAACATTCACAATGTGTTCTGAAGCAGCAAAACTCATGAATACATTGCAACAATCACCTTTACCTTTAAAAGGCACGGTAAACTTAAGTAGTAGTCCAATACCAACGCAATTGACAGATACGAAACTAAGTAGTGTCCTAGAGCAACCAAAACCGCTAGAATCTAGTAGATTGGTCTCTCAGGCACAACAGCAAGATTTAAATCGGCTACAAACTAGCACACCACCATTCAAAGACTACATGAATCACCATTCTCCAGCTTTTAGTTCTTATCTACAAAATACAGTTTTACCGCCAATTACAAATACAGCTGAAACAAATCTTTCTTCGACGTCAACAGCTACTGGTGATTTATTTCAAAATTCGCTGTACAGACCGGACAGTAAATTTTCATTAAACAGGTATTCTACCGGTCAGACTTATACTCAAGGACTGCAAAGTACTACTACTGAAGGGACAAAATTTCAACAACAGTATTCATCATCGACAGATGAAGGTTGTGAAACTGACATGGAAGACGTAGCAAGCGTCCCAAGTGGTGTACAAAACAGGTTAAGTTCGTATGCGAGCTCGAGTTCCAGTAGCGGAGTCGTTACTTTTTTTAATAACAAAAGTCTCAGTCAAAATCTTAGCTGTGATTCATCTCAAAGCAATTTCTCAACATTTGAAAGTTTGGATTATCAGTTATCGGATTGTTCCAGTGAGTTGGCTAGCAGTTTACCAAGTTGTACATCAAATGACGATAAATTAGCTTACGAGAACAGTGCTTTAGTGAATACCAGTCCAATGCATCCATGTGTTTATATATCATCATATAATAATAAAACCTCAGGTACAGGATTTATTGCACGACATAATCCTCTTAATTATCAGTCAGCAAATAAGAATTGTACTCGAGCCATTACGAGGAGTCCTGTGGACTTTAGGGAAGGTCGTCGAGCAAGTGACGGTCTTGTGGCACAACAAGTGGCACAATCTAATGAATCCCAAAAGAATACACTGGCTTTTAATAGTCAGAGATTAAATGAAAATTGTAAAGCTAAAGGCGTACTAGAATTACATTTGGTGCAAAAAGAAGCACAGAAACTTAAAACTCAATATCAGTCCACAATTCCTGCTGAAGAAATGACACAAAGACAATTGCAACATAATCAATTTGCAGCAAGTTTTACTCCACATTATTTAGATTCTAAAAACCCTCCCTCTAAACGTATTAGTCTTCCAGAATCATTTAATTATTCAAGTACATCGCCACCGATGCCAGCTAGTCCGAAAATGGTTGCACAATTACAAGAAACGCCAGATTTACAACACAGCACTTCCGTGTCATCACAAGTTAGTAAACCTCCGCTTCAACAGCAATTAATGCAACATAGACTGTTTCAACAAAAAAGGCAACTGCTGCAGAAGCAAATGACACCTCCTAATATGGCTGCTCATGAAATTGGTACATTGCATACATTACAAGTTGGGCTCAGTCGGCGGCAAATGCTTCGACAACAGAGTTACAAAATTGCTCAGCAACAACAAATTCTACCTCCATTACCGCTGACAGAAACGGAGAATAGAGATTTACTTGCATTTCAAGCAATAGTTGAAGGACCAAATCGGGTGTCCAAGCAAAAACCAGAAGAAAACCAAGAAGAAGTTTCGAAGTTTGCATATCAAGGCTCAATGGAAATAAGCATTATGAATAAAGATAGATTAGGGAACGAAAATTGGTCAAATTTACCGTCCAGTCTACAAACCGCTTGTCAAATTTCCGAGCTAGCAGGACGCCGGGATGGAAAGGAGGCTCGTGAAGGGGAGACGGAAGCAGCAAGCCATGGGGCCGTGGACGCGCCCCTTTGGCCAGCCCAGTGGAACCCTGGACTCTTCCAGCCTCAACCATGTTTCCAGGTATTCCAACAGATCAACTAAGTAGATCTACACGTTGAGCGTAGAACAGTAGATGTAGTAGTGTCAATTGTGTGCACGCAGCGTAAGGTCGTGACATAGCTTTAAAAGTTTTAGTCGTTACGTCCTCTGAAGCATAATATGCTACATCAATAATTGGTCTCATTAAATTTTGTACTCGTAATCGTAAGGCATTGTACTATGTGAGCATATGTAGATGATGCATACTTTTCGCTATTATCAAATTTTTGTAGAGTGCATGACAATAATTAATGTTTTCAAATTATGTACCAACGACACATTTAGAAATGCAAAAATATTTTATTATTTATATCAATATCATAATCATCATGTTATAAATGGCAAAAAATAAAAACTTCCAAATGTCATTTAACAATATACTAATTAAAAATACGTTAATACTGTATTAAAATGTAACAATATTTAGTAAAATAATACTAATAGTAAATTGCACTCAATAAAGTATACCAAATGAATTACTCAAAATAATTTTAGAACGTTCATTCCTAATATTAAGTGCGTATAGTAAAACTTCATCTTTATTATACTATTCCATTTGTTAGATTAAACTTGCCAATGTATTATTTATATAAACTTTATAATACTTGATAAGATGCATTTTACATGAACTGCAGACATCATTTAATAATGTTCCTATGTAATTGTATTATTCTAATCCATGAAACATTAATTTTATTTAAGTTGGGTATCTATTTATTTATAATATTATCATAAGTTATGATTTCTTTCTGAAAGTCTGTCTGTATAGTATTGATTTGATTTATTATTTGCTACGTTATCAAAGTTATATATATGTGAGATGTGATAGCTTTATTTAGAAAGAAGTTTTATTTAAAATACAAGTAAATGTAAAAATTTTAATCGTACTTTGTTTTATTTCGTCACCTTATGATTTCGCTGTGAGTATTTATGTAGACTACACTGAATGCATGCCGTTTATAAATGCCTTCTAGTATTCTAGATCATAATTAGTGCGTATAACTGTAAAACAAGACGAATTATCTACAGAATTAACTAATTGTATTGTTTTATTCTTCAAATATTCTGGGCAAATAAAAATGTGACTAAACATTAGCTTTTGAGCCGATACTTCGTTAGCTATACAGATAGGATAGGATATCTACGGTACTTTCTATTCCTTAATAAAGAGGAAGTAAAAGAGATGGTTTAGGTAAGTAACTAACATAAAAATCATATTTAAAAAAGTCACAAACCAGAGAAGATTCTATATTGCCATAGTGTAACTGAATTGATTTCAAGTTAAATAGGATCAGATGTGTAGATGCATTACATATAGCGTTTTATGTTCAATCATAAAAGATGTTGCGGAAAATTCAGCAAAGGCCTTTGCTGAATACAGAAAACTACTATAATAATATCGTAGTAGATACAATATTATTATAACAGTTTATATGAATCTGCACTCGGTGAAGTGAATAATACGTATATGAATATGTCATCAGTCGAATCACTGGATGGATCCCAAGAGTAGGTAAATAGGTATAAGTTTTTTATATAATTTCCCACAGCAGGGCACGAACAGAGTAAAATACCTAGACGACGTACTCCAAAATGATATCACTTCTATAGTTCCACTAGTGTTTTTTATATTTCTTTACATATTAAAATAATAGCTATTAAACATTACATCAAGAGATACAAGAATGGTATAAAAAATATTTTTTCAAATATACTATATGGCTTCATTCCAGCCATTACTACGATATTATCCGATTATACCGTCACGATTTAATAACAGAGTAAAACTTACGATGATGAAGTGATAATGTATGCATATCTTAGAGCGTTTGTATATAGTTGCATATATTTTGCTCTCTTATTATATCATGATGATGAAATCGTACGATCGTATCGTGTTATGGCAAAATTATAAGAGCGAATAGACGACCGTATCAATCCGAACAAGATGTGTGGATGTTAATTTTCAGCAACTTTATATTCAGAAATATGGAATACTGTTATTGTTTCTGAATGACACTTATAAATTCAAAAGTTGGCTTATACAGAACAAGAACATCAGTCATGTAATAAAATTAAAAAAAATAAAATATCATTGAAAGTTTGGATAATTATTGGTAAAAAAATAATTGCAGTGCGATGTTCAATTTAAAAATCTGCAGTCATCTGAAATTCATTTGTAGGTTGCAGCGCATTCCAGATGTTTATATACATATTCTGATCAAAATATGCCGATCGTCAATCAGGTAGATAAGTTATTAATATCCAACCAACAATATACCATCCTCATAGAAATTATTACTATATTTGGATCAAAGAGCTAAAATGTATGTAATAACATAGCTAAAAATGACAGCTGAAGATGTATAAATTCCTGTATTGAAACAATTCGCGGCGACGATGACCGAAACACAAGAATAATATGTAATTGCCTTGTTCGGTTGTCTTGATGGGACACCTATCAAGTACATAGTCTATTGGAAACCTTCGGGTATTTATTATTACAATTACAAATTTTATGTTTGTTAGAAATAAAATGGATTCTATAGTCTGAAATAAAATAAATTTGAATTAAAAGATCATGCACGCGATCAATAGTGTCTACAATGTGGGTCAAAAAGCTTACTCCTATCATCCGAACTGTAATGATTCGAGTTGCTTTTTTGTGAACGGTGCTATCGTTTTTCGTATTCGTTTTTTTGTTTTTCTTTAGAAATCGTGTAATTAATACATCGGTAATTACGAATTCAATACGCATCCTGATTACACAACACATAAAAGTTTTAATAGTCTTGATTAGGGAATATTATCCAGGGAAACTATGACTTAATTATTTTTTATTATTATTATATCAGCCGTTAATTGTCTATTGCTGAACATAGGCCTTCTATATTAGGGGATACTAAAACAATAGTAGGGTACAAGCCAAAGAATAAATTTCTTATTCTTATGGTACATACATAGATGAGATCAACATCATCATATTAGATTTTAACTGTCCACTGCTAAACAAGCCTTCCCCTTGACAGGCAGGTTGGCAATCGCAGTCAGGCCTTTGGTAATGTTTTAAGAGGGACGCTGCTGCCTATCTCTCGACCATAAGTTATGACTTAATTAGGACGTTATTAATAAGAGAACATTGTTTATTACAGCAGAACTGGCAAGGGCACAGCCTGCCTCCTACCGCTGGGATGTTACCACTTAGTGAAAGTCCCATATTGGAGCTGACTGAGCAGATGGAGTCCATTTAAATCATTTAGAGTATTATATTAAGTTGGTAATTGCAGTATATTCAATGAAATACCTATCTATACTATCCAATAACTACTAGTAGAAAATGTTTTTAGATGTAAATTATTTGCAAACGGTTTTTTTTCTTAAAATTCACTTATGTAAAACTTTAAATCTGATTGATTCCACTTTTGATACATTGGCGTTATTAGACAGCGCCTTTAATCAGCACATTTTAATTATTGCTAAAAATTAAACAATAAAGTAGCAAATAAGCATACGACCCGCCAGATGCTAAGAGTTACTGTAGCCTATGAACATCTGCAATATCAGTGTTTTAACATTGGGAATATTGGAACAAGATTCTAAATATAGAATCGAAATAGTCCATGTTTTAGTGGAAATATTTCAATTACTCATTTGTACCTATCATAATAGATATGGTACGTACCTAACTACATCATTAGTTTAAGTACTCGATGTAAATTGTGCTGGAATATTACATTGTTTATTTATATTTTTATTTATGCAATCTTTCATGCTTTTACTTTTTAAATACATACTGTAACCACAGTGTTACTATTAGAAATAATAATGCTGTGCTGTAACTGTGGGCTGTAACATTTTGTGGCTATTAATATGTCCATTGTTGTTAGAGGCATTTGTAGAAAATTTTGAGCAACAACAGTTTTCTAAACATGTACGTAGATTAGCACCAATCTGATATTATCATTTCATGTACCAATATATCTAGTTACAAATTAATCTAAATTATCACACTACAAATAAGTCAATACTTAGGTTTAATAGGTGCATTTGGTATTAATAAGTAATAAGTATGTACTTAGCTATAAACGATGTGACAATATCAACTTAGTATAAGCTGTTGCAATTTGCAATTAGATTTTTTATTTAAAATTTACCTATCGTAAAACCATTTTAATGTTTTGTTAAAAAAATAAAAAAATATCTATACTATCAAAGAATTATTTTAAAAAGGTCTGATCAGTAAAATATTTTATTTTGCAATTATATAAGAGTACTTGTTAATTATCTTCGACTCTTTGAGAGAACAAAGTCAGGATGTCAAGTTTTATTACTTGTCTAGGTACTTCTTTATTGTCCTTGTAATGCCTGTTTTTGTTAAATTACTTTAGTCATTTAGGATAAGGGAAGGGTACACAATACGATCATAAGTATTTAATTGTTTAGATAAGACGTAAAAGATTAAGATTGTTGTACCGTTATGGTAATACAATAACTACATATAGAGTTCCACTTTATTATACACGTTTATTCTTTTAATTTTAAAATCAAGAACCTAGTATTGGGTTTAGGATAGCTCCTTGTATATAAACTACCTCTAATTATCTTTGAAAGAAGACTGAATTCGGTGTCAATTCAGACAAACGGTATGTTGTAAACAGCGCCATGAATATGTCAGTAACTACATGAGTAAGAGACACGCTTATAAATGGTAGTCGCCTATGTTTCTCATAGTAACACCTTATCGACAATCGCGGTGATATTCCGCGGAGTCCATTTTGAGCAAACTTTTCGTTGCTCTACAACGAATAAATTCTTTCATGAACAAATTAGTGTGACATGTGTGGCGTTAACTGGGATAGCTTTTATTGCGTTGAAAAGAAAGTTAATGTAAGAATTAATTAGACATATCAGTGTGTGGATACATATTGTGACACTATTACTTATACTACTTTTAAAGGAATTTTGTTGATGGCTTTTAAAACAAATGCGATTTGTTAAAGACGCAATTAGATATCTTTATGGAACATTTGCGTACTCGCATTTATTTAATTTTATCATATGGTAAAATACTTATGGCTTTAATAAATTTGGATAAAAATACCTATTTCCTCTGATTAATGGGTGAAAAATGACTGTGTAGATAAGTATCTGTAAAGGTATTTATCTAAAAAAATAATACGTTAGGAATCATAAGTCTAAATTTATTATATCTGTATTTTATTTTAATTCATTTAGTGTATGAGTAAGTAATTACGAGAAAAAGTTGTTTTAAGGTTAAAACTAAGCATAGATACCACCGTATCTAACTGCTGCAGCTACTTAGTATTGACTTAGTTAATTATTTTCTTTCTTAATGACGTCGATGAATAGGCGATGTGATGTGCCTGCGTCATTTTATGGCCATTTATTTTAAAATTCATTTATATATTATTTATAAATGGAATTTTAATGAATTTTCTGCATTTGTTGTTTCTGACAATTATTTCGAGTTACGTGAGTACAGTTTTTTATCCACCTTAGTCAATTATACTTGTATATAAATAAATAAAAAATGAGCAAAGTTTTAAAGTCATCTTTACGCCATGCCCTACGCTAAAATTGGCGTGATAGGTACGAAGTCATACGTGCAGTTACGAACACGTATCTACAATTGTGTATGTTTAATCTTGAAATGCATAAAAATATAGGTTTTATTTTTTTGTGATGTTTTAGTTTTATTAGTACCTATATAATAGGATCTGGTACCTAAAACGTATTTATCTAATTAATTTTATATATTACCCTATTTGGAAAATTTTTATGTTATGACTAAGATGTTCTTTAGGTAAAGCTGATTTATTTAATGGATACTATGACAGGATTTCGTCTTAATATTTAAGTATATCCATCATTTATGTTATGACTAACTCGATATATAATAAAGCAAACGAATTGTTACAATATTTTCATAGGTATTGTATAATTCATTATGTATTACTTTTAAGAAATTGACAGTCGTTATATTATTATTTAAAACATTCGTTTATTAAACACATATTCATATTTTTTGCTGTTTTGGATTATTGTGAAGCAAAAGTATGTAGTTTAGTAGAATACTTAGTAACTAAATCTACGAACGATCAATATGCTGATCGCAAAAGCTTTATCAAAACTGTAACAATAACTTACATACGTAAGTATCTATATTATTAAGTAGACCGTATTACTATTACTATACATATAAGTTTAGACAATCGTAGAATAGGTGTTTGGAGGCTTTTACAATTATAAGTAAATTGTCATTGTATAAAATAATCCTTGTCGGGATGTTAGCTCATGATAATCGCAGTACCTAACTTATGCAATTAATTAAGTAGTCAATTTTATATAAAACGGGACGAGTAATAAATAATGTAGTGACGAGCAATATTATGAATGTACCTATTCAACATTTCACAGCTTCAAATCAGCTTTACGGTGTAAGTAGTGGTACTATAATAGTGTTTTTTGTTATGTTTAATTTAGTTTTGGTTGTGATAATATGTATAATGGCTGATTGTTAATCAATGTATAGAACAGTCAAATATTACAAAATATTATATTTAAAAAGTAATTTCTATTATTTATGGTACACCTACTACCTTTTTAGTGTATTAGAGCTTAGTTAGCCTTTTAATAACAAAAACATATATTGGTAGCTTCACTTTATATAGACTTACGGAAATGGTGGGGTTTTTCAACCGACTTCAGAAAGGGAGTTCTCAATTTGGTTGTATTTTTTATGTTTGTTACCTCATAATTTCGTCAGTTGTAAACGGATTTTATGATATTTTCGAAAATTACAGTTATATCTAAAAACATATGCTTATAGATTGGTATAGTAATTTTATGAAAATCGATTTTACTGAACCGTTTAGTTTTTAAACCATAATGACTAGCTATACCACAATTGAAGTCGGATTTTTTTTTGTAAAATACATTTTAATTTCACTACCAGGATCAGCAAACAAGTTTATAATATATGCAGACTACGTCACCTAGTAAGTATAAGCTTTTTCTACGGATTGGCACGTGCAATCTTACAACTGGCATCCTTTACGTCTCAGATAACTATCGTCAAACATTATTATGACCATTTGGTGCTAGGTAAGGAAAGTATGCACAATACCATGGCCATCACTAAAAATATAGGTACATAAATACATAGAAAATATATTAATCTAAATATAGATCTAATGCAACTTAGAATGGCAAACAAGCTGACGGTCCACCTGATGGAAAGAGGTAACCGTCGCCTATAGACATGAGCTGTACCATGGACATAACAGAGTATACTGTTTTGTCCATGATACCCTCTATGCGTTGCCATTCCCGAGGTATTATTCCTCTGTGCCCTGTATATTTACTGCCATATCCCACCCTTTAAACCGAAACACAGCCATGCAAACAACTGCTTCATGGTAGAAACGCGAATGGGACAGATGTGCCCAAGCAAACGACTTTTGTACAAAGTCTACCTCTGGTAAATAAATCGTAAATGTATCATTATTTTAAGAAAATAGTTAAAGAATTTATTTAAAACTAAGAAAAAATAGAAACAACAATTTAAATCGTATTTAACTGCATCAGTAAGAATTACGTTGCAGTTAGATGTTATACACAACATATATAAACATGTATGTATATGTAACAAAATATATTGGATATCATGATACTTCTGATGCTGATAAGTTGACAATTTTGAGGATTAAGTTAGATGTTGTTTCGTATTATCTTCTTCAGATGATATAAGTAACAATCACTTTAAAATCCAACGAAAATAGATTTGAAAATTCAGATGTTTAGACTACCTACTACTGTTTACGTAAGGGTGTTGTTGTTGGTGATCTGGTGTCATCTGTTACTAGGCCGCCTTTACTACACACAAAGGACTCTGACGTAGATTAGGTTTAGACCGGGATTCTACTTTTCGATCCCTGGACTGCAGGCAAGAGTTAATTAATTAATTTTTTGGTACCAATATATACTAGCACTTAGTTATTAATAATGTAAACACAATGTATTTAACGAACAAAAGAAATTAGGTACCTATGTCTATGAGTATATCAACAAACCAGTTCTTATCAGTCAATACTATATTGGTTTATAAAATTACTTGAACATACTGAAGTGGACATACGTAAGTGTTGTTGTGTTGACATTCAAAACGCCAATATTTTAAGAAGTTGACTATACTAATATAAAGTACAAAATAATTATATTTCATTATATAGGTATCTATTTAGGTATGTATTTTAATTTCTATTTTATATGTGTTTAATTTTCCTAATTATTGTGAATGTTTTCATTTATTTAAATTATTTTGGAAGCGTTAATTTACTATCAGAACTGTAAAACTATCTTATCATGAATGTATTAGAAACAATATATGTAATTACAAGTTTGGTAATACTAAATATTACTGTATTTAAGTACTTATGAGAAGGAGACTTTGTACAAAAGTCAATTGCTTGGGTACCTCTGTTCCATTCGTGTTTCAACCGTGAAGCAGTTGTGTTTGCATGGCTGTGTTTCGGTTTGAATAATACCTGAGACTTCAGGTATGGCAACGCATGGGGGTATTATGGGCGAAACAGTATACTCTGTTATGTCCATGGTATTGCTCATGTCTATAGGCGACGGTTACCACTTTCCATCAGGTGGGCCGTCAGCTTGTTTGCCATTCTAAGTTGTATAAAAAAACCTTACGAATATTTCTTTTACAGTTTCGGATTATGGCAAAGATAATAGATATTATAAAAAGGAATAAACAATTTTCGTTTTCCTTCGAGGTGACTCCCGACATATCGGAGGAAGAGATAGATAATTTGAGAGTCGATCCTTCTTTCTTTTCGATCACATGGCACGCAAAAACTCATCAAAACAAAGATTTAGACATAGCTCCTTTGAAGATAGCTAAGTTTTTAAGGAGCAAAGAGAAAGAAGTCCTACTGCATTTATCCTGCGATTTTATGAAACGGAATTTTTTATTTCGAGTATTGTTACTACTTCAAGAGATAAATATTCGTAATTTATTCATTATTCTGGGAGGTATGTATAAAAAATTATGCCCCTATTTAAAAATTATACACATAATTGTGTAAAGATTGATAGTATTTACTTTCTTAATTACAATCTTGAAGCATGTTTTTAATTTACGTCTATATATATGAAACGGTATTATTAAGTGGTAAAACAAAAGCTGTATGCGTTTACTTCTTCGTATATTTTTACGCTTCATCTAATTTAGTCTCGTAGGTACCCTAGGGTCGGATGTATTATATATCATGTATTAGTTAAATGATTCTAGATGATGATAAGTTAATTCTAACTTATTTAACCAATTCATTTTATACAACTTTAAATATTTTTTTATGTTGATAAAAAAGTATGTTTAAACATGAATACATATGTATTTACCAAAAATTTACTTATTTTAATATCTAGGTACCTATTTCAGATTGATTACTAAAATTTTCAATGTGAACATTTAAGCATAAATAAATTGACATTAATAGATTAGATAATTTTGTTACTTCGCATGTGTCGAACTGTATCTAATCATATACAATATTAAATAATAATATAACAAATCCAAATGGATTTTGCTTTATAAAAACATTTTCAATTTTAATTGTAGTAAAATCAGTTATTTTGATAAAAAAACCAACAACAAATATACAATTGAATTGAGAACCTCTCCTTCTTTGGAGTCGGTTAATAAAACATTAATTCACAATATTCTCTATCTTCGAAAAGTTTGTTTGGATTTTGGGCACCTACTCCTAATCTTACAGTAGATATTCGATAAATATCAAATCTTTCCTTTTAATTTTTACCGACACATATTACGTATCTATCTGATTCCGGTCTTCGCGTGGGAAGAAATTTATAGACTTAAGTACACTACAAAAATCGTCTGCTTTTTAATGGGTGATGATGGAATGGTGACCCCGCCCGCGCTATCGGTATACGCTGATGGAGCACCAGTGAGGGATGATAGGTGACGATGAAAGCAGGTCAGTTAGCCCATCATGACGAATTCCACTAGAATTAACCACGATGGTTTCCAAGGGGAACCGCGTAGAGGTCGACCTAATAGGGTGTATTGCTAGCAATGGGGCAAGTCGACCCCGTTACTAACAATCTGCTTCTGTGTGGTGGGTTATGATGGTAGTAAAATTACAAGGTACAGCAAAACATCTTAGTGATCAGTATTGGCAATCATGGACATCACAATATGTTTGCACTTTTCATCAAATAAGCCATTATCAGCTATTATTATGGTATTCACTTAATCTTATTTTGTTATTACTAATGTGATTATTTTTTTTACTTACAGAAGGTTTTGATCCAGAGACGTCGGATTTTAAAGACAGTTCAGAATTAATAAAATGTATAAGAGATCATTCTGGGCCCTACTTTTGTATAGGAGTTGCTGGACTGCCTGATTGTAACGACGACAAGCTCATAGCACTGAAACGAAAGATAAACCTGGGCGCTGATTTCGTTTTGACCCAAGCATTTTTTGAAGCGAATATTTATAAAACTTTCGTGCACAGATGTAAAAAAATTGACATCAATGTACCAATTATACCTGGTATATTTTACTTCGAGACTTACACACAATTATCGGGTTTTATAAATATGTGTCAGATCAAGGTGTCGGATAATATATTAGAATATGTTAAAAATGATCAATCAAATAAAATAACTGGTGGAGATATTATAAAACAATTAATACGCGATATAAATGATGAAAAAATTTATCACGTCCATTTTTTCACTATGAACAAGTTACGCGTTATTTCTGATTTTGTAAATAAACTGTACTAAAATACCTACAACTGTATATTGTAGGTATTTTAGTATAATTTATTCACAAAATTATTGGATAAGTTGATGATCACATATGTATATCTTATGAACACATATATATTTTATGAAGTGTAATTATTTAAGATTTATTGCTTTAGAACTTCGAAGATAAGGGGGGAAGGGGAGGGAAAATGTTTTTCTCATATTTTCTGCATAAATCTCATATTTTCGATCATGACTAAAAGAGTACGCAGCATAAAAATAAATAAAAAAAACAGTTTTAAAGCGCTTTCAAAAATTAGAATTAAGATTTTAAATATTAGTAAAGTATATTTTAGACCCCGATAGTCGGATATAGAGCGACGAGGGAGTCACCTTTAAAATTTTCGTAAAATTTACCATGATTTATTAAAAAAAAACCTAAGATGATATATATAGTAACCGTATACTTAATATAACGTATTACGTACTAGCAGACTAGCAATGTAATCACAAAAACGAGATGAACATTTAATTACATTTATTTGCATGAAATGTAAATGTGGGCTTGGAACAGTATTGCACCATTCACATTCTATCGTTACACGTTATGTAAATCGTATCGATTATGTGTACAATTGTAAATCGAAACTCCAAACTTTCAATTTTATTTAACAAATAAAAATTTTAAAAGTCTATAATTATCTATTCATTTAACTTCAGCACACATATAATAAATTGTATGTATGTATGGCCTCCACGATCTCCAGATTTGAAATCTTTGGATTATTTTTATGGAGTTACTTCAAAGAAGCAGTTTATGAGAAAAATATTTCCAATGAAAGAGAGTTACGAGAAAAATTAAATAATGTAGATGAAATAGTAAAAAACAATGAACGGGCTTGTAGAAGTTTACGCAGAAACTTTATAAGAAGGTGTTGGTTATGCATAAGGGCAAGAGGAAGACATTTTGAGAATTTACTGTAACATAAAAGTTTAATAAAAGGGGTTTTACAAAAATCGTATTTTTATTTTATTCTGAAAATATCCCATGATATTGAATGAAATAAGAAAAATCTTACTTTATACCTTAGAATTATATCTTTTTAGAATTAGTATGAGATGTAGATGTATTTAAAGTATTAAACATTACGATACATTTTTTTTTACACCAGTTTGTTCAAATTTCAATTAGAAAACTTTTAAACGTAAAGTTTGCATTTAGTTTATGTTCTAATTTTCTTGTTATTGTTCAATATGCTTGAATATCATTTTAATTAGGAAGACTTATGTACTATTCTTAAGTACCTTGAACATAAAACAACAATAAAATAAAAAAAAAAACAAATATAGTAAAATTTAATATTTAGCTTACATAGATGATATTTTTACCACATTTTGAAAACAAAGCATAACTTAATAATTACAAGATCTAGGACTATAAATTTTAGTATTTTTGTTAGATAATAGGTCTCACTACTCTCCATAACCCGTTGGCCCACTACTTACGGACACCTTGTATATTACTAGGATTCAAAATTATTGACAATCTCTCAGGAATTGAAGTTAAATTTTATTGGTATTCACGTATTTGTTATTATTTTAATTTGAATTCTATAGAATATTAATTAGTTTAAATGTATAAGTAATATTTGTTATGATTCTAAATATTGTATTTAGATAAGTGATTTTTTTTAAGTTTCAAGCATATATACACGTAAAACATGAAATTTTTATTGTTTCCTTTGTTATTTATTTTACATCCAAGTAAATCAAACTTAATTATAACTAATTACATTCACTTAAAACTAAATCCACTTAATTCCGTAAAAATAATTTTAAGTTATTATATATATTTGTTCATACTTCCGCCACAACAGCTTCGAGCTTATGTTGTGCAAATTTTTATCCTTTCGTCTCTCTCACTCTAACATACAAGTTACTATATTTTCTGTCTCGTACATTGCCAATCTCCTAAGATAGTAACAATATTAAAATATAAATATTTAACTTTTATTTAACGTGATTAATATATACATTTATTTTTAATAATATATAATTTTAATGTAATAATAATTTTATTTTGATAGTTTCTCGAAATTACTGTATTGTGGATCATTACAAACTTAGAATAATTTTGACTTAAATCTATTAAAAATTTAGTTTGTAATGGTTTAGAGAAATGGCACCTCAGAATGAACCCCAGTAACTATAAATTCTGGGATCCGCAAACTAATAACTCGAGTCGAGTACGTATGCAGGTATTTTTAAGATTCTATTGTATTGTAAGTTGATGATCATGTACGAAGACAAAGAATTTATATCTAATCTAATTTCTGAACTTATTTTTTAATCTGTGGTTAGCCATTTTGATTTTGATTATCGTTCGTTGTATAGATACCTATATATATTTGATTCTTACAAAATTATAAATAGTCGTAACCGTAAATATTTTTTGTTCTACCTACATGTAATTTTCTAATATAATTGATATTTGTGCAAGGCGGTTTATTTAGTTCATTTTACCTGCGGGACCGCCACCGCTGCAAGTGTTCTGCTGCGCTACAGATAGTTTCAACGATCAGCTGTCAGGGACCTTTGACGTGTAGAACACAAACAAATCCTAAATATCGGTTTGCTATGCTGTTGCCGCAATGAACGGCACTTTTTATGATCAGTTATCAGGCGTAACTGGGCTTTTCGAGCAATGGGGCGCTTGCGAGCGTACGATGGTAGCTTGCGCGCTCGCGCGGCGCGTGCCTTGGCCGGGTCTGAAGCTGGTACAGCGGGCTGTGGAGGCTGCCTTACAAAACCATGTAGACGACGAGATATTGGAACATGAAGCTAATGACGAGACTTTGCTTGCCAGTCTGTTCAACATTAGGATAGATGATGATGACAATGAGGGTAAGATTGAATTATGCTGTTTTATATGTCTCCTCAAAAAATTTTATCATATCAAAGAATTACTGTAAATTGTAATTCAGTATCAATTTTAAACGCAAAAAAATAAATTTGGTTTAATTTGTAATATGTATTGTTAGTAGTTCAATATTGAAAATCATTTAGGTGTAGTAAAATGTGGGTAGTATCTTTCTACAGCAATTACTATGAGATTTGCAAGAATTTTTAAAGGATCAAATAGCAATGTGATTTTTTAAAAAGGTTGACATCCATTATAAATAATAATCATAATATCACCAAGGAATATAGATTAAATGTATTTAAAATGGATAAAGAATTTAATGGGGTCCTTTGCTGTTTACGCTTGGCGGAATTTGGAATCAATTTTTTTTAAATAAAGACACTTGTATTTACATTTTCCTATTCGTTATATTAATATTGTAATGATTACATCTTAATATAAGTATTAAGTGATTGTAATGTAAATGTAAGTAGTACTCCATTTTCCGCACTAAGCCTCTCATTTGGGCCTTTGTGTGTATGAGTCATGGCTAGTACAGCCAACCTAGCTCTGCCCAGTATTAAGTGATTATAAGTGTAAAATAAGTTCTAAAAATATCAATATGAATTGTGCATTAGGTAAAGTTTTTTTTTTTATGGGTGATAATGGAATGGTAACCCAATCCGCACTATCGGTATACACCGGCAGGGCACCAGTGAAGGATGATAGGAGAGAATGAAGCAGGCCAGTTAGCCAATCGTGACGAATTCAACAAGAATTGTTCATGATGGTTTTTGGGGGGAACTACGTGGAGGTTGACCTAATAGGGCATTGCTAGCAATGGGGTAATAAGGTAATGTGTGTCTGTTTATAAATTCATAGAAATTTTATAAAATTCATAGAATAATGATTAATGAAAAATACTACCTATATTTTGTTTTGCCTGCTAGTTAGTGTACACTAAAACTTAAAGTTTTTGCTTAATCCCATCTTACAATATTTATTACACACTTTTAAATTTTGTAAATATGCATTATTTGCTCCAATTTGAGAGATAGAATAGTAGTCATTCTAACCTTTAATATTTGTTATGGGGCAAAATTATATTTACCACGCTAGTTTGTTATAAAAAAATATTTATAAGTTGTGATTATGATATGTGATTTTTGATTATTAATAGGAGGGGAACAACTTCGAAGATTATTGACACTCCTACCTCTACTTAGGACAGATAATGAGCGTGCCAAGGATGTTTATGTGACTGCAGCACAGACACTTGTGCAGCGATGTGTTGATTCACCACGGCGCTCCTCAGTTTCATCTGATCTTTGTCGACAATTGTTATCCTATTTACTACTGCATCCTGCTCTTACACACACAGATCAAAAGTGAATATTGTTATTATTTTTATATTTGTATAGTTAACTATATAAAGATATAAATTTTATTGATTATGTATCATCATGAGGATAATTTTCTTTAAGAGAAAATATTTAATATTATCTTTTACTGGCAACTTTATCTGTGTCACTGGCTCGGATAAAAAGCAGCCTATATTCTTTTCCATCTCATATAGTATGTGTACACAAGATTTCATAGTAATTGGTTAAGCTGTTAAGGTGCTACAAGATAATAAATGAAGAAACTTACTTTTATATTTATAATATTAGGAACAATTTACCCAATAGTTATATAGCTTTAAATACACTGTGAACTGATGTTCATAGTGTATTTAGAAAAATAAAATGATGATTTATTTTAATACTGACACCAATATAATGATGTATAATGATGACTGTTATAACTAATTAATAAACAAACACTAATCCATATGCCAGAATAAATATATTCAAAAAACAATATTTCCTTTATTTAACAACAATGTTATCATTTATTGTTTTGTGTATTTCAGAACTCTGACGCAATGGCTGCGACATTTAGAAAATCATATGTCTGGAAACAGAAATACTGAAACTGTTTGGCAGCATAGGCTAGATCATTGCTTGTTACCTGATGTTAACATTTGGAGCACAAACAATACTTTTAGACGGACAATTGGCAAAAATGTAGAATTCAGGGGCATGGATACATTAGACATATGTTATCCAGATTTACTCCAGGAATCATTCTCGAAAAATGGCAGAGATGTCGATATCAGCTTAGACGGGGATAAACTCAATTTTGATGCAGCAGTATCACAACCAAAATCACAGAGGTCCAATAGTTTGACTCCACCTTCAAGTAATTTTATACACATGTCATCATCAGCTGAGAATTTGAGTGATGAGCCATTTGTACAGAAGCCACGCAGTTTTTCTCTTTCCAGTGAACATAGCCTAGCTCAGATTAGGCCTATTAGTATAATGTATGGAACAACTGGAAGCGAGACACGCCTAGATGATTTAAGATCAAATAATTTTACTGAACATCCTGGAATGTCAACAGTGACACAGTGGTTAAAGAGCTTACGTCTTCATAAATACGTGTGGCTATTCACTAATGTTACTTATGATCAAATGATGGCTATGGATGATAAATACCTCGAGAAACTTGGTGAGTATATTGTAAACTACTGCATGACATTTTTACATAACATATGTTAATACATATATATTATACAGGTGTGACAGATATGTATGTATTTATTATATTGCTCAGACAACAATATAATGAATAGTTAAAATACTTTTATTTTTTGAGATTTATTTCTTAATTAAAATAGTAGATTTGTATTAGCTTATTCTTTTATAACTATGGTGCCTTGCAATTGCCAATTTATTATAATTATTATATAAATGAAAATTTTCTAATATAGATATAGTCATTATAAATTTTGATCGATAATTAAATAGATTAGGTGCTTCCATAGACATTGAAATGAAAAATTTTGTTGGGAAGCTTGGCATTTTTAAATTCTATTTTTTTTTAAATATACTATCTGTAATAAGTTTTATATAAAATTGTTTTAGAGTTATTTATTTTTATTATTTACAGAATTAATTTGTATTTAAAATGTAACATATATGTATAAATTTTTAACAGGTGTGACTAAAGGGGCTCGTCACAAATTATTATTATCTATAAAGAAATTAAATGAACGAGCAGCTATTATTGAAAGTGTCGAAGCAGAGTTGAAAATATCCATGATATCACCATCTTCGGCCGCACGAGCTTTGGAACGTTTGCGCGGCGTGCTACTGAGTCCTATGCCACCTGCTTCTGATTTACCTGTTGCTATTGTACGAGCTTTAAATTTAGGTATGTAGATATTTTTACTTTGTACTTGGGCAATCCACTTTTAAACTTTTGAACATAAGTATTCCCTATAAGGGAAGGGGAGTTATGTCAGTAGTTGTCATGCTTTGCAGGCAGATTGGCAACCGCAGTTAGATTTTAGAGAGAATTTAAGAGGGATGCTGCTGCCTATTCATCTACTATTAAGTTTCCTTTGTCACCTCTTACTACACTAACGGATGGATTCGATTCTCCATTAATATGGAGTTACCCAAACCACAGCCTAGACGTATACCTCGAAGGACTGACCAACATAAATTTCTTACACTGGTCAGGGAAAAATTTGACAATCAACTGCCACTACTAGACGATTTAGCGGTAACAGATTGGACGATAGTGCAAACTACATCACGTCCATTTTAACCTTATGAACAGTCCTGTGCCCTAACCACACCACAGTATGGGGGGAGGCAACACTGGTGGTGTCCAAAATTGGAAAGACACCGTCGTAAGTTAAGGAAATTGTTTAACATAGCCATGAACAAACGGTCACAAGAAGACTGGAATAAATACACAACATCCAAAAAACAATATAAGAAACTCATACGCCAGAGAAAGCAAGAATGCTGGAGGCGTTTTTGTATATAGAAAACAATAACCAGGCGATTAAAGTAAAAGCATGTCTCTCTAATGAGAAAGATCATACAATATTGCCTCAAGAAACCTGATAATAATTATACAAAGAACGACACATTGCTACTATTTTCCAGGATTCCAGACTACTGCGGAGTACATGGGAACCATACAAGGAAAGGGAAACCAGTTAAAGTTTATAGATAAAGAAAAACTACTATGGGCAATCAGTACCTTTCTAAAAAGCGGCAGGCCTGTGGAATATTTCCAGCCCTTCTGAAATGGAGCGGGAGCGTATAGTGACTAAGCGTGCATAGCTCACCGTTACATTGGCGTGAGGTAATATTTATTCCTAAACCAGGTAGAGGAGATTACACTGTGGCCAAATCCTTTCGAATCAGTCTCACCTCGTTCTTTTTGAAAACTTTGGAGAGACTATGTGACAAAGAGATTAGATGTCAAGTCTCCCTGTGCATATGAAGTCAACTTCAGCACTTCATAACGTATAAATAGGCAATGCATTGCAATCGATGCATTTATAGACATCGAAGGGGCATTCGACAAAACAAACTTTGCCAGTATAGGTCGGGCACTAGCTACACATGGAGTAGAAATAACACTTAGAGAATGGATACATAACATGCTTAAACAACGAGCTATACAATTTACTGTAAATACTACCACACGAGGAATCGTCGGTAGGGGCTGTCCACAAGGCGGTGTACTGTCACCACTATTGTGGAATATAGTCGTAAATGAGCTCATAATAGAGCTTAACGATAACAGCAGATGATATAGCTGTACTTTTAACAGGAAGCTTCGAAGGTACTCTGTGTGATCGCATAATTGCGCACAGCATGATATTAATCCTACAAAAACAGAATTAATCATGTTCACAAATAGAAGAGTTACATGTCCTTACAGACTACCAAAACTCTTCAATACGGAACTGAAACTTAAGGAAGAAGTCAAGTACCTTGGCATAATACTAGACAGTATTGCTTTGGAATAAACATCTTGACTACAAACTTAACAAAAGCACAATTGCATTCTACCAGTGCAAAAAGATGCTAGGAAACAAATGGGGTCTTTCGCCAAAAATAACTCTATGGCTGTACAGAGCTGTAATCAGGCCAATGTTGGTCTATGGTGCACTGGTTTGGTGACCGAGGACAAAACTATCGACCACCGCCGCCAAACTAAAAAGCTTTCAGAGACTGTTTTGCTCTTCTGTCAGCGGCTGCATGAAAACAGCTCCTACAACAGCAATAGAGTTGGCCCTCAACATAACACCCCTAGACCTGCACATACAGCAGGAAGCGTTAGCCGCTTCCGACTAATTGATCTATGGGGTAAAAATCACTACATCCCCACACTTCTATTCTGAACTTATTGAACCTTTGATTGCGGCTCCGTGTGACAGTAATCATTATATATTTAACAAAAAATACCAAATACAAATTCAAGAAGAGGAAAAGGACCAATCCGGTGTACATGAATTACGCATATACACCGATGGCTCCAAAACCGAGAACGGTTCAGGAGCCGGAGTCTTTCCTTAGACCTGAATATAAACGTGCACATACCGCTTGGCGTACACAGCTCAATATTCCAATGCGAATGTGTTGCAATAACCGAGGCTGCTGCAGCTGTACATAAGCTAGGAATAAATGGTTTTAGCATTAGATTCTTATCTGACAGCGCAGCAGTACTAAAAGCATTACGAAACAACAAGACAAACAACAAATTGATAATTGAATGCCACCATTCACTGGATAGGATATCTTCCAATAACCGAGTTATCCTCCAATGGATAAGAGGGCACAGTGGATCTTATGGTAACGATAGACGAACTGGCTATCAGGAACGAGGGTGTATATCCACTTCTTCCTCTTCCGTTCTCGCAATTTCAAATGTGGATCCGTCAAAGATCCGCTGACATACAAAACCAAAGATGGATACAGGCTACTGATTGCAGACAATCAAAATTGGCCGTACCTACGTTGAATCAACGACTATCAAAACGTTTATTACATCTAGATAGAAAAAACCTCAAAATAATGATAGGGACAATAACGGGTCATTGTCCATTAAACAAACATTTATACACAATAGGAGCCACAGACAGCCCTCTATGTCGAGGCTGTTTCGACGCTGAAGAAACGGCTGCTCACGTAATCCTGGAATGTGAGGCTGTGGCCCATCAACGTTTAGAAATCCTCGGAACGGTGAGGCCTGTGAAGAACCCAGGAAGCTTCTGCGCTTCTGGGCGGATAACTAGCCACGACTCACACGCACAACGGCCCAAATGGGAGGCTAAGTGCGGAAAACAGAGTCTTTCTTACATTACATTACATTACACTAACGGGAAAGGAAAAAGTGGCCTATTCTATGCCGGGACCACATAGCCAATATAAAGTATATGTTTATCAAATTGTGTATGCATTATCATGGTCTTGGCTCAATAAAAATTCTCTAGTGATAAAAATTTAAAAAAATCCGGTATATATAATTGTCATATAAATGATGCATCTATGGCATTTGTGCATTGGTATGTCAAGCTTTATCTTATGATATGTTCGACATGTCTATAAGAAATGGTTACCACTTTCCTTTAAGTGGGTTGTAATGTTTGCCATTCCATATTGAGGGTACATTGATATTTTAAACGTTATTGTACCACCTTCTTATAATAAATATTTAGTCTCGTATTGCATTGTTTTTCATTGAGATTTGCTATTGCTTGCCTTCTAAATTTTTAATATAAACCACATATTTAAATGAAGATCTAATTAACAACTAAATGTCAATTCTATAAATGTTCCATTTACTAATATTATGTATACATAACTTTTATTTACAATGTAATATTTTTTTTATTTTTCAGCTTCTACTACTTTATGTAATAGTTGTGGGACGGGTTCGCGTGTACCCCAACATGTCTCTCACGAAGAGACTGATCACGACCTACCCATCGACCCTTTATCCTTACACTGCTGGCTTGTTGAAAAGGTAGGGAGATATGTTGTTATTTGAGGTTTTTAGCTCAAACTATAATCTACACATAAAATTTTTAAAGCTGGGTTTTTTGTGACTGTCATTATCATTTTTTAACAACTTTTAATTATATCACATTTACGATATTCTGGGGATAACCAGGAAGTAGTGATAGTTACTATCCATCCCATTGATACTTCTTTTTTATGTAACTTAGAATGGCAAACAAGCTGATGGTCCACCTAATAGAAAGTAGTAACCGTTAGTATGAAAAGTGGTAACCGGCACTTATAGACATGAGCAGTACCATGGACATAAACAGATTACACTGTTTCGTCCATGATACCCCCCATGCGTTGCCATTCCTGAGGACTAAAGTGTTATTCCTCTGTTCCTTGTAAATTAACTGCCATATTCCACCCTTTAACCTGAAACACAATCATGCAAACGACTGCTTCTCGGTAGAAATACGAGTGGGACAGAGGTACCCAAGCAACTATGATATGAAAAAATTTATAATGATATGAACTATAAGGTATTGTTTATGGTCATTTTAGGCACTTCATCACGAGGCATTTAATAGGCCGGACTTATTGGAGGAGTTAAAACGGTTACGGCATAGATTACCTCCAAGACAGTTCTTCCATCATGTAAGCGATATGCCACTCAACAGGCGGTGTCCAAAGCTCCGGTAAGTTGTCTATACTTATAATAAATCTATAGAGAGGTCAATTCTGTACATGAAATATATATCCAAAATAACTATCAGGGGGTGATTAGTGATCGATACTGATGCCAAAAATGCAATCAGTAAAATTTTTGTCTGTCTGTATGTTCGTTATAGAAACAAAAATTACTCGACGGATTTTAATGAAACTTGGTATAATTATTCTTCATACTCCTGGGCAGGTTATAGTATATTTTTCATCACGCTACCATCAATAGGAGCAGAGCAGTGAAGGGAAATGTTGGGAAAACGGGAGAAGTTACTCCATTTTTAAGCTTCCGTCGCATGTGCAGCCTTAATGGTCACTTTTTAAAATGTAAAAATGTCCACCAGTGCGACGCCGGGACGGGCCGCTAGTACAAAATAATGTAAGAGTCTACACATCAAAGTTATGACGTCTGCATTTTGGGTCATTTTAAAAGAGATCAAATATTTTTCAATAATTATTGTATTTCTTTTGGCCTAAAAACAACCACAAAACCAAGTGCACATAAATTTATGATCAAAAATGTAATTACGTATTTTGCGTTTGAAGATTTAAATACTTTTTTATCATATAAGAGCAATTTTAAAAATTATTTATATATGTAAAATTCTTTGTAAATATATAGTTTTATTAAAATTCTTTCCAAATTCATAGATATTTATTTAATTTTATTACTGTAAATCTGCATTATTAGTATCTATTTGAATGTTAATAGTCCCTCTATAAATTCTTCTGAGTGTACTGACTTGTTACAGATGGCGTTTCGGATCGCAAAACGGGTATCAAAAGCCTTTACATAGGCGCATGTGGACACCGAACTCGCAGTCTAAGGGTGGACCGCCGTTGCCGCGCGGAAAGTCGAACTCGTACCCACCTTTTCCTCCCGCCGCTGCACCCCGTTTACCCCCTACGCCTTCAACCCCTGCCGTTCCCGCTGCAGATGATTACTCGAGCCTTGATGCGCTCTGTCTACAAATGACCGAGCAGGCGATCAACTGAGCAGACGCCCACATGTTGACGGGTGATGTCACAGAGGACTTACAAAAAATGCAAGTCACAGCTTAATATGAAAAATGGTAATATGATAGTAGTCGCATAGAAACATAACAACCATGCCATTCATTTATTTCGTGTTGCTCCCACTCATATTAAATATTTTTCTATGTAACAACTATCACTTTAAAGTTTAAGTACTGACTGAAAGCTTACACTCTGTAATATAGGATAGTATCCTCTGTGATTATGCTCTATTGACTCTTGTGAATAGTGTACTCCATGCTAAAACAAACGTCTTGTTTGCTGCTGGGACATTTCTCAATGTTCCAGAACATTATCTGATTAATTGATGCAAAATCGTAATATTAATTAATTGGATACGTAACGATTCCCAATTTAAATAATGCAGGAAGGTCATGGTACTTTTAAGAAATATAATATATACATATGTAAAGAACTTACTACTTTTATAATAGAGATGATATAATACAAATCGTATTTATATTTATTTGACGAGGTTTTTCTATTGATGAAAGCCCTGATGTTTATTTAATCCTGGATATTATAAGTCTAAATATAACTTATTTAGTAGCCATAATGCATTATAGAAATTTGATCACGCTTTAGGTAAGGAGTACACAAATTTATCTAGCATAGTGAATTAATATTTATTTATATTAAATAAATGAAGAGCTGGTGAAATGATGCCTTAATTTAACGAAAATACAAATATTGACGTTTAACATTATTAGGGTACATTTCTAATGTCTCGCCATGGGTCCCAATGCTTTTTGTAGGTTTCGATATTTGCATTTTTTTAATATAAGATATATCATTGTCCACCAATGAAGCATAATGTAAATAAAGCATCTGTAAAAAATATTTATTTCCTATATAGTAATCGATGACATCGACTTGATTTGGTTCGTCCAATTGTAATATGTATACAAAATAAACTTTATCCTAAATTTATCTGGTGCTAATTTTGCAACTTTTAAATTCCAGTGTAGTTTGTTATTTAATTAGGATTAGTAATTATTTATTTTATGATAATGTAAAACATTGGAAGGTACAGTAAAATGTATAGTTATTTAATGGAAAGGTGGACTTGGTTGTGGTGCAAGTAGCACGTCCATGCAGTCACGTAGGCGTCTACAGAGTTCAGACAGCACGGCCTAATAAAACTGCAGGTACCTACTTAATGTCAACTTAATTGTAAACAATATAGTTGTTGTTCAGTGTATTAATTGTGATTATTGTTGACTTGTTACACTTGCACACTATTGTCTGTTCTTAAACAATTATTAATGTTATAATATAAATTTAGATGTAACTTGTTGACTGAAGATTTATTTATAATGTTTGTGTGCTGTTTATTTATTTAGTTTAATTATTTGTATTGACCATTTTGACTGGATCAAAAATCTGATTGTAAGATGTGCAATTTTTTTTTATTTATTATATAAATGTTTATAATAAATGTTATCAAGTTTTGTAAATAATTGACTGGGTTACAATGTATTTAAAATATTGAATATTACGCAATAAGATAATGGCTTTGTACAAACTTTGGAAGTTGTGTTGACGGCAGACTTTATTAGTGCAATGAAAGTAATAATTGATATGAAATAATTGTTTTAATTATTAATTGGTTAATTAATATATGACACAGTCCACAATAGTATGTTGATTTATTTATGAAATATAATGAATTTATATAATGTAATATATTCTAAAATTGTACTTTTAAAATACTGTCTGGAATAATATTTATTATTCTTTTAACAAAATATTTTAGGAAATAACTGATGCCTAGAACTTGTTGTTCTAGTATTTAATTAACACTTCTGTTTTACATGTCTGGACTGTGATATGGTTTATTTTTTTATTACAATATTTATCAGCACGAAAATAAAAGTAAATTGTAATGTGGATATTTATTTTATTACCTTAAAAATAATCTTTTAAATTATATCACAAATTGTTAAAATTCAACAAAAACAACATGACTAGCTATGACAAAAAAAATAAACTGGTTATTTTGTTCATTTTATATATCACAGTTATTTACATTTTGCTTTACAATTAGATTTGAGTAAACAATTGAAAAGTATAAAATTAAATGCAAAGATTGTTGTAGGCATCTGATGTAATATTCAGTTTTACTTATGTGATTATCTATCAAAAGTATGTGTTAATAGGATAGGATTTTACTTCATGTACCAAATTTCATTTCAATTTATTCAGCTTTTAAGTAAAATGAAAACACCAAATGTTTTTTAATTATTAAAAACTAGCTTTTACATTTGATTTTGTATGACTGTGATATTTTCTCTGACCAGAATAATAACCTATGTTCTCCTCCATTCCATATAGTACCTGTATACCAAATTTCATAGTGACTGAGCTGTTAAGGCACCAAGTTTATAATTAAACTCACTTTCACATGTATAATATTAGTAAGGATTTCTCAACTGTAGTCTTGAGTAACATTCAGTGAGTACTTAAGAGAGTAATGACTGCCATGTCAATAAGTCTTGTATGCAGAGTTCTTTGGCTAAGAGATGAATTACAGTCGCACAGTTCAGCTACAATTATATTAGCTTAGGATGTTATTTAATAAATACATATCTGTCATACCAGTCTTCCATTAGGGTAGACAGAAAGAATGGGATACCAAATGTTTAGATTCAAACTCCTTTTGCTACTTTTGATTTATTTTTTGTTAGACTGTTGTATATCTAAAGAACAAATGCTTAGGTAAGTACATAGTTTTTTAAATGATTTGGCCTTCACCTTTCAATAATATATGGAACAACTGAAGGTATAATCAAGATAATCAACTCAAAATTAATACTAATTGGAACCTTTGCACCTGTAGAATTTATTTCTACATATACCAACTATGCACACTCATATCAAACAGAATTGATACTAAAAATGTGAATAAATTGGTAGATTTTTACACTGAAGCCACTATTTTCTTACAACTTTAGTGTGATTATAATTTTATGCAAGAAACAGATTCAAGATCACAAGTGTTACAAGAGTATTTTCTAATTAATATTATCTTTATGAGACAAGTCTTTCTTTATGTGTGCCCATTTTGTGTCTTGCAAGATCACTTTTTCTATAAAAGCCTCTTGAACATTGGTCACATGGAAATGGGATCCGTGTGTCATGTAGTTTGGCTGTGTGGAAGTCGAGCATGGGTCTGGATGGAAATGCCATCAAGCAGCCCTCTACTAAACATTTATGTTTATCTGTTTTTTTATGACGGAAGTTCATATGGTGAGCTAAAGCTCTAGATTCTCCAAAACTACTAGTACAAAGTTCACACTTTAGTGGTTTCTCTCCTGTGTGTTTCCATGTATGAACTTCTATATTTGGTACATTCTTAGAACATATATTACAGTACCCAGATTTCTCTGAATGTTGCCTTTCAATATGACTCTTTAAATTGCCTTTTAAATTAAAATTACGCCCACAGTAACTGCAAATAAAATGGTCAGGTTCTGAGTGTAATTTCAAATGCTTTTTTAAATTGTTTCTATATTTAAACATGACATTACAAATCGCACATGAAAATTGTTTATTGTTTGAATGAACTTTATGATGATTCTTTAGTTCCTCCTTAGAACAGAATGCTTTACTGCAAGTTGCACACATGTAGGGCTTTTCTCCTGTATGCCTTTTGATGTGTCGAAGCAAAGCACTTATCTGTGTGAATTTCATTGGGCATTCTGAGCATGCATAAGGTGTTTCACCTGTATGGATTCTCATATGTATTTTAACATCACTTTTTGAATAAAAACATTTACCACAGTTTTCACAAGTAAAATTGCGTTCTCTATTTTCTGAATGATTTCTTTCCACATGTCTTTTTAAGGTTCCAGAGTCTTTATATTTTTTATCACATGATGAACAAGGATAAGGTTTTTCATCAGAATGTGATCTCATATGTATCATCAATGTGGATGGATTAGGGCACTTACGATTGCAAACAGTGCATTTTTTGGAAGCAGGTGACTTGAATTTTGTCCTCTTTTTGTACACTTTTCTTTTTATTCTTTCTTTACATTTTGATTCATTTTTTATTTCTCTTTCTTGACTGAGAACTTCACAAGTGATATCAAAGTTACCATCAATATCACCATAAACCAGATCTTGGTCGCTACCAATATTTTCTTCAATTTTTACCTGAACAGTGTCTTCATTATCATGTTTGTTTATATTTAGAGAACATTGACTAAAATCTTGAGAACGTAATGCTTTATCCGTGGTTTCACATTTTTTAATAAAATGATAAGCTGTGGACAGTTCTAATTCACAATTGTTGCAGATGTACGCTGGAAGTCCATCGCCTTCATAGATGCTGATGTTAGCACAGCAATACATTATTTTGGCACTTAAAACAAGTTCATCATTAATTTTGTCATATATATATGAATTTCCCTTATTCTCGCAACATATTCTACATATTTTTAAATCCATTATTTCTATAAAAAAAGAAATTATTAGATTATCATATTAGTGTTATCTATCATAGTAAACAACAATTCAAAAAACCACAACAAAATTTGACACACTAGTAGTTAGGGATGTAGCGATACCAATACCCAGCTATATAGCAACGCAAAGAATAGCCGCGACTGGTTTTTTTTTTATTTTAATGGGTGATAATGTTATATTAAACCTTTCCTGTGCTATCGGTATACGCTGGCGGGGTACCTGTAGTGGGATGATGGGTGACGATGAAAGAAGATCAGTTAGTCCATCGTGACGAATTCCACTAGAATTAACCACGATGGTTTTCAGGGGAACCACGTGGAGGTCGATCTGATAGGGTGTATTGCTGACAATGGGTCAGTTAGACCCATTATTAACAATCCCTTTCCTCCCGCCTCGGCTGGGTTTTTTGATGGGTGAAAATGGAATGGTAGCCCGCCTGCGCTAACGGAATACGCTGGCGGAGCACCAGTGAAGGGTGATCAATGAGAATGAAAATAGGTCAGTTAGCCCATCATGATAAATTCATCAGGAATTAACCATGATAGTTTCCAGGGGGAACCGCGAGGAGGTCGACCTGGTTGGGTACATTGCTAGCAATGGGATTTTTAGTCTCCATTACTAATAATCCCTTATCCCCCCCCCTGCGGTTGAGTTTTTTTTATGGGTGAAAATGGAATGGTAACTCCGCCTGCGCTAACAGGATACTCTGGCAGAGCACCAGTGAAGGGTGATAGATGAGAATGAAAACAGGTCAGTTAGCCCATCATGATGAATTCATCAGGAATCAACCATGATAGTTTCCAGGGGGAACCGCGAGGAGGTCGACCTGGTTGGGTATATTGCTAGCAATGGGATTCTCAGTCTCCATCACTAACAATCCCTTTCCTCCCCCCGCGGTTGGGTTATCTGTCGTCGACATAGACAGCTATTGGTTATTAAGAATAAGGAATTACATAGGAGTGATAAAATTGACAATTCATAGCAGGCTAGTATATAGAAAATGTTATAAGGCCGTATATCCCTACCAAATTCAGATACAACCTGCTTGTATACTATCTGAATAAACTGTGTCGAATATATAATCTAGTAATGTAAAATTTGTCATTGACATATAATTGACATATTAAACATTTTCTATACATTACCCTGCTATAAATTGAGAAAAATAGCAACTGATGGTGTATCTTTCGTCCTCTTTTTACTAATTATATTTGCATAAAAAGAAAGAAGGCAATTATATGATTTACAGTTTTTATTTTATCCTTCCTTCTATGTAATTTCTTGTTCTTAGATTGGTTATAGCCGATTAACCGTTAGAGCAATAACTACTTTTACCCGTCTGCTACAGCAGCCACGGTAGCTACTGCGGCTATCGGCTACCAATAGCCGTGGTAGCTATCGTGGCTGGCAATAACGATAGCGTATGCTAGATTTATGATTATTTGTAAAACATGCGTATAAATACATGCAGATGTTAAAAATACAATCTCATTCGACATGTTTAGCCTGTATGGCATACAAAAATATGCAGTTACACAGCCAGTTCAAAATTATACATCAAGTCAATTTTATACAATTTGTTCAAAATTAACCTTTTTACGTACAATGACAATTGTAGATTTTTATAAAAAAGAAAATTGATAAACAATTGAAATAGAACAAAATACAGAATATACTTCAAGTCAACAGACGGTGATTTTATTTTACAACTAATATAATAAATAATATAAATAATATAATTAAATACTAAGAACCAGCACATATTACAAACATAATAAGTGGTCCTTCGAGCCGGATGAATCCCGACATTCCTTCAATAAATCTAGTAAAACAAGTAGCCATACCAAAACCCATCATCCCAAGTTATGGTGGTGAGGTAAAAGAGCAAAATGATTTCAAAAATGTATCCCTCTCCGTGATTGACAAGAGTAGGACTGTATCAAAAATAGAGAAATTCTACTATTTGAAACCTTATCTAAATGGAGAAGCTGCAAGCTTAATTTCATCGTTACCAATCAAGGAAGATAATTATGAAATTGCTTGGATAACACTCGAGAAACGTTATGAAAATAAAATGTTAAATATCAATCACAATCAAAAAATTTTAAAGTACAATACGATTACGAGAAATAATATCATGGATTTTCTCAACAAATTACAACAATTTGTAGATTCATTGAATGCGATGCAAGTTGATACAATTGAGATAATATTGATATATTTAATTACTCGCAAGATGGAGAGTTCTGAAAATCGTTAAGCAGACAAACTACAGATCAGTTGCGTTCGAAAATCTCAAAGATATATATTCACATAATACGATGCCTCATTCTCATATTAAGAAGACGTCACAACTATCGACTTCTTCATATATTATACAAAACAATAAGCTGATGTACCTGACATCATCACATGGAAGTTAATTTTATATATACAAATATTATTCTTTACTTTTATTTCTACTAGAAGATAATAATTTATTTTAAGTATTTTTATGATTTGTTAAATTCTCTCACACCTTTTCCTAGGTGGAATATGTTCAAAATTAACCTTTTTACGTACAATGACAATTGTAGATTTTTATAAAAAAGAAAATTGATAAACAATTGAAATAGAACAAAATACAGAATATACTTCAAGTCAACAGACGGTGATTTTATTTTACAACTAATATAATAAATAATATAAATAATATAATTAAATACTAAGAACCAGCACATATTACAAACACAATTAATCGTTAAAAAATAAATAATAATAATAACAATTATCAGGTTAAATATAAAGGATAAAAGAACGATGTCACAACGTTGTTAATAAATATAAATAAATAGATTTTTTTTTTAATTTATACTTAAATGAAATACATTAGTTGGTGAATATTTTATAGATTTTGGTATTTTATTATAGATTTTTGGATGTAACTTATCATTATCGCGTTGATTGCGTTTAACAATTTCTGAAAATCGTGGAAATAAATTCTTATTACATATATTCATTGTACATATTTGTAATATATATACAAAACTCGTTAGCTTGGGTACCTCTGTTGCATTCGTGTTTCAACCGTAAAGCAGTTGTGTTTGCATGGCTGTGTATCGGTTTGAAGGGTGGGATATGACGCGAATTTACAGGGTACAGAAGAATAACATTAGTCCTCAGGAATGGCAACGCATGGGGGGGGGGGTATCATGGGCGAAACAGTATACTCTGTTATGTCCATGGTACTGCTCATGTCTATAGATGACGGTTACCACTTTCCATCAGGTGGGCCGTCATCTTGATTGCCATTCTAAGTTGTAAAAAAAAAAATGAAATTGGCTATGTACCTTCTTTGAGCTTTAAATACAAATTCTTTCTTCGTTGAATTTCCCCAAAATATTATGCCGTACCGTAAATTTGAAGCAGAAATACCACGATATGCTGTAATTAGTGCAGATTTATTTATTATAGGAGAAAATTTATTTAAAGCATAAGCCAAAGAACTCAATTTCTTGCATAAATCATCTATATGATCTTTCCAATTTAATTTATTGTCTATTATAATACTTACCTAGCTAGCTATCCGATAACTTATTGATTATTATAAAGCTGCCCGGCTGCACTGCGTCGGGTTCGATCCTCATTGCAGTAACAAATAAATTTGATAATCCAATATGCGATTTTGTTATTTATTTATTTATTTTTTCTGGTATATAACTATATTATAGTCAATACTACGAGTATATTTATTAATGAAAAATGAATATTATCAAAATTCGGTTTATCAATAAGAGTTAGCGACATCTATGATCTATGAACTTAAACTTTGAGATAGTCTGTTCGATTATAGTTGATATATAAAGTTTCTTAACTCATTACATAGGTGGCACCACTATGAATAAAATTAAAAGAATATTTACTAATGGATATACCTAACATAGTAATGAGGAGGGAAAGGGATTATTAGTAATGGAGACTACGAATTCCATTGCTAGCAATATACTAACCAGGTCAACCTCCTCGCGGTTCCCTCTGGAAACTATCATGGCTAATTCCTGATGAATTCGTCATGATGGGTTAACTGACCTGTTTTCATTCTCATCAATCATCCTTTACTGGTGCTCCGCTGGCGTATCCCGTTGGTACGGGCGGGGTTACCATTCCATTTTCACCCATAAAAAAAAAACATAGTAATGAGTACAAAGCAGTTTATTGATTTTTTTTTAATAAAAAATAGACTTTAGTCTAATGTATCAGTCTAAAACATTTATAATTAACAAAAACAACAATCAAGAATATATAGAACATAAAAATAAGCTATAAAATTTACGTAGGTAGTCCATAATTATTAATTCTAAAAAGAAAATAGGTATATGTTGTAGTACCCAAACACAGATATATATATTAATAAAGCTGACAAAGCATAAACTGTAAGCATGAGTTAGATATTTTTTGCTTTCTTCTTTTGCTTGCGCCTACAGTTAAATAAATGTTGCTCTTTTTTCTGTCACGTGTAATAATACCTTGGCAGGCAGGTTGGCGACCATAGTTAAGGTTTGGAGTTGCTGGAGATGTTTTGAAAGGGATGCTGCTGCCCATTCCTTGACCATTAGGTTCTTTTAGTCGCCTCTTACAACACCCACGGGAAAGGAAGGTTTAGCCCATTCTATGCCAGGACCACAAGGCGCATAAAATCATTAGTGAAATAGAAGATAAAAAAGAAAGTTGTCAACTTTCCTAATGCTATACCGGTCTTATCAAAAAAAAAAATGGAAAGATGTGGATACACAAATATTAATTAATATTCCTGGTAACAACAAAGTTTTTTTTTAATATTTCAAAAAAGGAAAAAAATCACTTCGACAAAAATCATTTTAAAAAAATGTTATTTAAAAATAAATCATTATATATATATATATATATATATATATATAGCATAAGTATAACCATAGTACTAAATATCATTTAATCATCCTATTACCATTAAATGCAAGCCGTAAATGATACCATCAAATTTTTGAAACAAAAATAGATACTTTCCACACTGTAATAAGTACAGGTAGTATAGGTACTATATGAAAGAAAATTTGAATAAGATTTGTCATCACTATA